CCGCGTCTGCTGGGGCTTTTTTGGGGGGGGGAACTCCCTAGCTGTTCCTCCCCCACCCGACAAACTGCGAGCAGAAAAAAAAAAACCCACCCACCCCAACCCATCCAGCGTGTTGCTACCTGCGCACAGCAGTAGAATAGGGGAGTTTGTCACCAGACTGCAGCTGGCTCACAGGCTAGACCAGCTCTGGGGTGGACCCCCTGCCTGCCCAGCAGGTACCACAGCTGCACCTGATGGGGGGGGGGTTCCCTTGTTGCATGTGGGTGTAAAGTTTTATTTTTCACTCTCAGCTCATGGGGCGAAAGGAGCAGGGCAAGCAAGCAGCACAACGAGCTGCCAGCAGCACTGTGCCAGACAAGGGCAAGAGGGCCCAGGAGCCATTTTTCAGCAGCGCTGCAGCAGCCCCTCACTGCCTTGCCTTAGCACCCTCCTCCTGCTGCCTGGGCAGCTGGAGCAAGCAGACCCCCCCCCACCCAAGCAAAGCAAGGGAGGGGGCTCTCTGCAAGTGGGTTTGCAAACAGCCTGGCCTGCACAGGCAGCTGCTGTTTGCTTGGAAGTAAGACTGTGGCATTTATCCCCATCTGTATGTAAATAAATAACCAATCCTGAGCTCAGTGTACAGCTTTTCTTCTCACCCTACTCCAGCCCTGCTGCAGAGCTGAGGATCAGGAGTGACTACACAGCAAGGGGACAGGGGTACCAAGCCCAGGGATGAGCTTGGGCTTTGTGCCAGGCAGGAGAGGCAGCAGGCCCAGCCCTGGGCACAGTTGGGGAAGGCCACAGCCCCTCAGAAACCTCCTCTCCCTGCCCCAAGCACTCAGTCAAGGAGGAGAAATCCCACCACAAGGCTAGGCTGGAGGGATGTGTTACCAAGCCCAGGGCCTCTCTCAGGCCCAGCACCATCCTGGGAAGCTGACAGCAAAGGGGCAGCTGCTGGTGCCATACAGGACACCGCACCTGCCCCAGGGGCAGATTTGGGCCACTGAGGGACTGGAGCATCTCTCATAGGAGGAAAGGTGGAAGAGAGCTAGGACTCTTCAGCTTGGACAAGACTGAGGAGGGAATCATAAATAAATAGCTGAAGGGAGGGTGTAAAGGGGATGGGGTGGGCTCTTTCCAGTGGTGTCTAGTGACAGGACAAGCACCAACAGGAACAAACTGAAACACAGGAAATTCCACCTGAACATAAGGAAAAACTTCTTTACTTGGAGACAGTTCAGAAGCCATCTGGAGAGCATCCTGCTCTAGGTGACCCTGCTTGAGCAGGGGGCTTGGACTAGATGATCTTTAAAGGTCACTTCCAACCTCAGCCATTGTGTGATTCTGAGTGAAGCATCTCCTCCCAGCACAGCTGGAGCAGAGCAGGCAAGATGTGCAGGACCCCCAGCTGGCAGGGAGGGCACAAGGGTCTTGGGGCTCAGAGCTAGAAGGCAGAAGCATCCTGACACAGCCTCTGGCCTCAAAGAGGGCAGAAGGCACAAGGGCAAAGGCACATACAGTGACAACACCTGGCTTAACCTAGGCCCTGTAAGGAGCAGCAGCAGGCACTTACTGCAACTTTTTCCTCTCACAGGAACTGGGCAGGGGGGAAAACCTATGGGGAGGCAGCAGGGAGAAGGTGGGGACTAAGGACAGCAGTGTCTCTGGGGAACAGCATGGGTCAGTCTGACAGGAGTCTCAGGAGATGAGTAGGACAGTGTGGGAGTCTGTTTCTCTATTAGCCTCCCTCTCCAGCCTTCCACATCCCTGATAGGTACCTATAACCCTTGTTTCCTACCACATAATGATGCACTTTTGGCTTTCCCCTGCTGCAGCATAGCAACTTTTTATTCCCATCAAGGCTTCAGCAAAAATCAATGTTGCACAATAAACATGTCACCTTCATACCCCCACCCACACATTTGGTCCTGTCCTCTCATCCAGGGAGCACTGCCCTCCCTCTAACCATCCTGTAAGAGGGCAGAGTCCTTTCAACACAAGTTACACTTGGTCCCCAGGACACTGGAACAAGCAGTACATTCCTTCCCTGAACTAATAGCCCTGTGGCATAGCCACTGTAGCATTACTGTACCTCTCCAGCAGTTTCTCATGATAGGAAACTTGAGTGCTCTTCACCAAAAAGACTGATGGCACCTTCCTGGGATGCTCCTTCCAGGAAGGAGATGGAAAGCCAAGCGCATAAAGCCTTTGCTAGTACAGGACAAGACATTTGCAGCCTTACAAGTTGCCCCAGTCCGAATAGAGCAGTGCCAACCTGGAATCCTCATACCCACTCACCAACACAATCCTGTACACTAGTTTGCTAAGACATTATATTACAATGCTTGCATTACTCATGTGCAGAAAGTCCTGGACAGTCCCTCTGGATTCTGTTTATTGTCTTACTTCCACCCTGCAGTCATCTCCACCAATAGCAGGGGAACAGTCTGAAGAAGGACAGGGTGCACCTCTCCTTTTGCCACCATGTAGAGCTGCAGACTGCTCTTCCCATCACATTACGTACCACGCTGCAACTCCTGCTGCCACAGCAACACAAGCCGCAAGGATCAGCTGCACTATGGGCTGCTTTGCCAAGGTCACAGCAGCATGATAGGGACAGCCAGGTCCTGCATTGCCAGCTACAACACAGAAAACACCATTAGTGCTGCCAATCCCTTGCTGTATCTATACTGCAACCGTCATTGCCTAAAACCTACCTAGTTTGTCTGCATAGTAAGGGCATTTGCGTAGGTCTCCTTTTCCATCGTGGATGGGGACGCCTCCATCTTGGGCTTCTTCTGTTAGGGACATGCCAATCTTGTCCAGTTCATCAAATACCTGTAAGTGGTCACAGTGAGTGCATGAGGCAGGCAGAGCTGTACAGCTTTCACTCAGATCAATTGAAGATCTGGAGAACAGGAAAAGTCATTTCTACCTCCATCCACCCAAATAGCAAGTAGAGCATTTGCTTCTATTTCAGAAAGCCTTGCAGGCAGGCACTTGGCAAGATGTAGCACATGCTACACCTCTGAGAAGGCACAGCCTGTACCAAGAGCATCTCAGGTTAGACCTCCGTATCCAGGAGCACACATGGCATGACCCTGCTGCATCCACAGCAGGCTGGAAGGCAAGCAAGGATGAGGCAGTGAGCTCTCCCTTCCCTTCTCTAGACCTTCTCTAGGAAATCACTGCTCCTGTTCAGAGGAGTCAGGCAGCCCCTTCCAGCTCCACTGCCAGGGGTTTCTGTAAGGATCTGACACAAAGGAGCCTACTACACCCCCACCACATTTCTGACCAGCTTAAACCACAAAGAACTGCTAGAGGCACAGATTAAGACTTCAGTCCAGTAACTGAGACTATGCCCCCTCTGTCTACGGCAGGGGACGGCTCAGTCATTCCATGCAAGATGCAAGTATTGTGGGAAGGAAGAGAGGCCATGGGCTAGAGGCCTTTTTGCCCACTGGACAACATCTCAGATCTCCAGGTGAGTCAGGAGGTGTACTATAACCTGGAAGGGGCAATGGTGAGATGACAGCATGAGAGCAGGCATCTAGGCTCAAGCTGTTTAAAATTATCTCAAAGTTAGAGCTCTGCTTTAGAGCCACCCAGCCCATTGGAATGTTATAGTCCAAGATGTCTCAGTTTAGTCCTAATCAAAGGCTCAGGTATAGCAACAGTGTGCAGGGAGAAATTCCTGCCCAATACTTGTCAGGTGTCCAGGAGGTAGCAGAAGAGCTCTTCAGACCAGATTCCCACACAAGACAAAGGCAGAATCCTGCTGCCCCCCAGTGGAGGGGACCCAAACCACTTTTCCAGATGAGCAGTTTGCCTGCATTAACCTGGGCTCAGGAGCTGGTGCGGAGCTAAAAGCAGCAGCACCTACAGGGATAGAGACTCAAGGGATTTGATACCTGCATGTTAAATCTGAAAGCCCTGTTGGCTTCTTCCACAATCCTTTCCTTGGTGTTCTTGTCCAAGTCTAGAGCATTCATCCTGGCCCTGTAGAGTTGCTTGAACTGTTGTGCATTGGAAATGTTTTCAAATATGTAGAACTGGATCCCTTCCTCAGTACTGGGCAGCTTCAGGGCCCTCTGGGCTACCTTCCTCAGCACCTGGCCACCTGAGAGGTCCCCCATGTAGCGTGTATAAGCATGGGCCACTAACAACTCTGGCTCATGCTGTCCCACATGATGGATTCTGTCCACATAATGCTTAGTTGCTTCTGAACACTGGATCTTCTCCTTCCAGTCTTCTCCATAGAAATATTCCATGTCTTTGACCAATGCTTCTCTCCGGTGGAGCTCTAGAGGGAAATACAGAGGGGCAAAGACTGGGTTGTCTTTGTTGCGATCCATTTCCTCTTCCAGAGCAGAGTACGTGAAGTAGAGTGCCACAGTAGCCAGCTACGGACAAAGCACAGCTAACATGAGAAGTTACTCACTCAATCTGTACATCACACCTTCTGCACCTTGTGACTACTCCCCTCCAGAATGGGGCTTGGGCCCACAGGGAGAAAGCCCCAGGGCTCTGCACAAAACCAGCCTGGAGAGCCCATACCAAGCTTGTATTGCCTGAAGGACCAGAGGCTCTTCACCTAGTTTCATAATAAAATTGCCTGCAGAGCATGCGCTGAGAACTACTAGTCCAACATTGCTGACTGCATGCTCCGGGCCTCCTATCAGCTTGAGAGCAAGGCATAGGGACTGACTTCACCCAAGAGGTGCAAGTAGCACCAGCACCCTAGTGCCACAGGGGACTACTGCATATGGCCCAAGATCTTCAGGATCAGGCAGTGCTGCTCAGACCCAAAAATCCATCTCTTCTGTACAGATTAAATAGCAATATGTCCTGGCACCTATGGAGGAAAAACTAATCCCCAGGGGATGGAATAAGCACCACAGGCCAGCCAGGATTTTACCTCTATGAGGCTGCTCATCCCATCAGTATCTTTGCAGCAGCCACAGCTGCCTGTCCTTGAGCAGTCAGCCGTGTGGCCAGAAACCTACACCTAAAGCAAACTTGTGCCTGGCCAGCATGCTCATCACCATCCTGAATTCTAGCTGTAGGACACACTGGATGGGATCCCCTGACAAGAGCCCTCCAGTAATTTTAACTACCAGAAACCCCTCTCAGCACAAGCCAGTGGTGCTCAGCTTCAGTAAGTCTTCAGTATGCATCAGTCATTGGATATATCAGTAAAGAGCTTCTCTGCCAAGAAAGTGGAACAGCACTCACCTTGAAAACCTCCTTCTTGATCTGTCCTTTCAGGAAGTCTTTGACAAACTTAGAATTCTCTGCATGATCATGGGATTCCTTTGTTCCCTCCTTCAGCAGCTCCGAGAGGCTGGTGGGACTGCAGCCAAAAAAAAAAAAAGGGGGGAGAGCTCCACTGATGTCAAGCTTCCTCATGCAGCACCAAGTTCATCCCTGCTGTGCTTTGAGGGACCCCATGCTCCCTGAATCTCTGGTGCAGTTTGGAGCAGATACACAGGGATAGGCAGCAGCCTCTCCCAGGGACCTGACATGGTTGGGAGAGATAAGGCCTGCACACGTAGGCCCTCATCTGCCAGACTTGCCATTTTAAAAGGCTCAGTACTTGCCAGGGGCTCAGACAGGCTGCTGAAACAATTGTCAAGGATCTTTGATCCTTGGACCATTACTTTTGCTGCTCATTTATGCAAGCCTCAACAATAACACCAAAGGCAACCTTGAGTATATCAAGAGCCACCACAGGGGCAGTGGTAAAGGGGCACAGGAGCTGTGCTGGCGCTCATCCTGGAAGTGAAAGACGCACACATAGATGCTCACATAGAAACAGATGCACACATGTGCAAGACCTTGGCTTTCATGATCAGAGTATCAAGGATAGCCAACTGCTGGGGAGAGATGGGATCCAAATAATGAAACAGGACAAGATCATCTTTGAAAAGCTTGTTTGTCCTAAATTATGTTGTTTTGGGGGATTTCTACAAGTTCTCCTTCCAAGACCTCTGATCTTACACTACAGCCACTGCACCTACCTGGAGTTTGGTACAGTTACCAACAACTTACATGAATAATGCCACAGTGCAGCTTACATAGTTATTTTGACTGTGGCTTGCTGTACATGGTGCGTTCACATTAATTTTTAAAATGAACCTTGAACACTCCAGACTCATGCCACCAACAGGCTAGAGAAAATTGGATGTGATAGGAGAAGCAGGTATCACTAACTTCTCATGAAGCTGAGCCTGTTAAGTAAAAAAGTCAACTAGCCTGTCTAGGTGTTTTGAGAAGCATCCCACCCCCCCCATTTTCAAGTCTGAAGCTTTTACTTTGAGCATGTTTCAGTGCATGCATGGGAAAACAAGTACATCATGTTCATCTGCACACAGCTACTCATTGTATGGATGGAGAACTGAACAACTCCTTGTATCTTTGAAGGAGTACGTGAAATAACTGTTCTTTAGGACATCACATTACAGCATCAGTTCTAGTCTCTGTAGGAACAGATGCAACTACATCCTCCCCTCAAGTGCTGAGCGGCTCCAGTCCCAGCTAGACAGATTCTTGCCTCAGCTTATTCAAGCTGTTCCACATCCACTTTTCAATTCAATTCCACAGACATTACAAAAAGGCTACAGAGGGACATAAATGAGTAAGGAGATTACAGAACTTCATTTACCAGTGTTTGAATTTGTCTTTTAAACTAGTCTCTGGGGAAGAGATCCCTGCATAAACCTTCGGGTATTGCGCAAAGGCAAGAAATGCAGCTCACTAGAGCAGAGTTCACCTCTAGAGTCATCTTTCAAAAGAAGTAGTTGCTATCACATGAGACACTGACCAGCAAGCCATGAAAGGCTGGTTCACCTTGGCCAGGAAGGGATAAACAAGATTGCCAAATGGTCAAAGCATTTCTGAAATGTGACTTCAGTGGCACAGATTGAGAAGTATCTCCCTGTTGTCAGCCTCAGCCAGACATTTCCTTCCCGTCCCTCCCACCTGTGGACTTTTGATTAAACAGACTCTACTACATAGAACTTGATTTGGCAACGCACCCCTTTTAGTCACCTATTACAGTCACTCATTCCTTTTTGGAGGAATGAAAGGTTCACTCTTGCCCAGAGACTTTCCTGTCTCGCCCAGGACAGGATCTGGGCCATGTTGCAAGACAGGGCCAGCAGGACTCACCTGACATTGTCATCTTCTGTTTCCTCATAGTGAAAGTTTTCCCCTTCTTCTCCCCTCTCTGAGCCCTCCATAACCGATGGCATGGCTCCACAGATGAATGCTGGAGACTAGGCAACCTGAAAGGCAAGATTAGAGAGGGATCTTGGAGGAAAAGCTACCTTAACAGGGGGATTGAATGGTTAGGAAGTACAGAGCAGTCTCAAAGAGAGCCTTGGAGAGCTGCATCACCACACAGGCTGGCGAGGAGCAGCCCCTTGCCATCCTCACTGTACACCAAAGCACTTGCAGGTGAGCAGTCTTACTTGTTCAACTCACCTATCCCAGAGGAACCTCCTAACACTAACACCTAGCTCACAAAATATTAGCCTTGGAGACCACCTACAATACATGAAGCAGCCTGTATTAGGTTTCCCACTTCAGGATGGGCCCTGGCTGAGGAGGGCCAGAGACTTTGTGTTAGAAATCTGCACTGCAGTTATGAGCAAGCTGCTTTTCACTGGTGCTGCCAACTCTCTCCTCCAGTGAGAGAGCAGAATAACTGCAAAGGGGAGCACCTCTCCTCCAGAGATGCTATCTCAACCAGCTTCACTTCTGCAGCAGTGCAGAGCCTCCCCAGAAGAAAGCAGCAATGAATTAGGCCAGCTAAGCTCTGAAGGCAGAGAACTCAAGATCTCCCCTACAACAGGGGATTTGAAGGGGAAACTGCAAAGCAGGGGCAGATTCTACAACTCTGCCTTTCCTGGGCTGTACTCCATGAGAAGGCAAAGCAGACGCTGTCTGAACAGAGCGAGCTGCAGAGAGTACTCCTGCTACCACTGCTCAAACACTCTTCTCCAGGAGTTTAAAGTAAAACTGGTTAGGCAGAAGTAACTGGGATCTTCCTCACCAATATGAAAAGGAAAAAAAAATCTCCTCCTCAGATGGGGCAGGATTGCACAAGCAGCTCCCAGATCCAGAGCAAGACACCTGGCTTATACCAGGTGGACCCCCTGGTTAAGCCATAAATCCAGCAACAGCATTTATAAAATGGACCAGTAATCAGCTTTGTGCTGAGCAACACCATCAACTTACAGGCAGGCTTGCCAGATAAGCACTGAACCGAGCACCTTGCCAGTGCTTCAGTACACGCTTGCTCTAAAGGAGCCATCCCTCATGCTCCCCCCCGCTTCAATTCAAGGCTCCTTAGGTGGGCTGCATCTGCAGACACACTGCTCAGCCCATGTTTGGAGGCTGGGAGAACAGTAAACAAGATAAGGAGCTGACAGCATGCCAAGCTAGTTAGCATGAAGCCAGGGTTGGCAGATGGGTTGCTGGCTCCCAGCTTACAACAGGCTAATGCAGAAGAGCACTAGTTATAAATTAACTGCCCTCCAGTTCCTCACATCAGGGTTGCTAGTCCCCTTTGTTTTCCAGTCACTCTCACTGCCCTCAACACTTCTGCAGAGAAGTGCTCTGCAGACAGCCTGGAGCACAGGGAGCTGGGTCAGAGCACACATCCCTGGGCACAGTACAGCAAGTCCCTCTGACTCAGGCCCAGCACCCACTTTCAGGAGCATGTTACCAGGGTGAACGTGTCACCTGTGACCATGCAGTCACCAGGAAGGAGCCTCCCCCCAAGTAGAAGCACTGATGGGGACCTTACAGAACCAACTAAAGCATTATTTCATGATGTGAGAAAGCCCAGTTCAGCAGCAAGATTCATGACGGGCAACAACCCTACAACCCCACCACTACACCTCCCTACAGGGCAAGCCACAGCACAGCCTCCGCATCCTTGGGATGGAGATGTTTAGGGCAGGATTACATAGCCAAGGGATACAGACGCACAGGGACAAGGGCTCAGAGAGATCTGAGGAAACCAAGCTTAGGTTCTATATTGTCTCTCTGATCGTTAACAGCAAACGTGTTTACTCTAGAATAGCTACTGGGTCAGCAAACAGTAGCTACCTCCGCTCACCACAGAGCTGCACTCAGGCTTCAAACATCAGGAAGTACCTATCCTGAGGAAGGGAAATCAGGGCAGAGAAGCTAAACCACCTGCCCCAGTTCAGGCAGAAGCCTGCCACGGGGTACAACTGGGAGAAGCCCACTCACCCAGCAGCTCAGCAAGGCAGCCAGACTTCTGCCACCACAGGTGTGCAGGGCTTCATAATGCCCTGGCTTTCTGTCCAGCTTAGTTCAGGCCTGGCTCTGCTCAAGAGATGCAAATCCTAAACTTCAACTAGATGAACTAGTTCCAGTTTGTCTTATACTCCCAGAGAGCTAGGATCCTGGAGGCAGGGCGTGCTACCTTTAGGCACTGCCAGGCCTGCAACAGCTGCAGATACAGATGAGCAGTGAGCCTATAGCTATGAAGGGCACTTCAGGATTGCTCATCCCTTAGAGGAGGCACAGAGTAGAAGATAAGTCCAACACAAAGGAGTTCACCAGATCAAACATCAGAAACTACAGTAACTAAAAGCAACAACTGTTAGAGGCTCCCAGTGGTCAAATATACATAGCATGGCTCCTGAGATCATCTTTGGGCAAGACAACAGGTCTGCTGACTTACCTCTTAGAGCCTTCACATCTATGCCCAAGAACCACTTCGGTATTTAGCTGCACTCACCAATGCTGGAGCTCGGCACTGTATGTTCTATACAGGCCATACAATGGAGAAGTGCTTCTACAACGTGAATGGCTTTAGATAAAAACAATTGATCAGAGCAATGAATTCTTGCCCCAGTAACACTGGCTTGTGCTAGAAAAGGATAGCAGGCAAAGTCTCATTTTAAGACTCTGATGCACTCTCAGACATGTGTTTTTGTGTTGGGGGGGGGGGGGTAGGAGGGAAGGCAAGAAGAGGAAAGAGGAAAAGGAGGAATAAAGGCTGTTTGACATCCTCTTCTCTACAGCAGTAGATGGGGCAATGGCGACACCAGCCCCTACAGCCAGAGGTCAGGGCAGTATAAGCACAAGAAAATATGCAAGCTAAGATTTTCCCTGATAGTCTCCAGTACAGACATCTCCCTGATGAGCCACGAACTCAAGGGGCAAGTCAGCACATGTCAAAACCCTATCCTTTTCAGTATTAGGATATGTCATGAAAACTTGGCGGAGGGGAAATCACAGGGTACTACAACTCTCACGTCACCATGAACTATTGCTCTTATTCACAAATTGGTAATCGAAACCCCAAGATGGTCACTGGCCAGCGCACTGGTTTCTTGGGGCGTCTGCTCTTCTGAAAGAGGCAGTGTCTTACACACTGAAAGGGAGGTTCTCACAGCTGCCTGCCTTCACTCCAGAGACTGGAACGTTTGCTACGAGGAGCTCTGCCGTCAGGACCCTGGCTGATGTTCAGAGTAAACACGCACCTCTCCAGCACCCTGACAGCAGCCTGCCTGGGGGGAATCCAACAGCTAGAAGAGTCAGGATAGCAGAGCTGGAGAAACACAGTGAAGGTTTGTTACAGAACAGCTCAGCGCTACAAACTTCTCTAGTAATGGTTTTCAAGCCCTCCTAGAAACTATCCCATCCTCATCTAGTCAGTTATTAGTTTTCCTTATGCATGTTTGCATAACTTTGCATTCAAGGTGAACAGCCATTCTCTGTACAGGAAGCTAGCCGAGACACCCCAATAACCCCTAGATTTTTGAAGGGCATAAAAGTAGACACTGATGCTGCAGGTTTGCTTTGCTTGGGCACTCTCAGCAGTTCAATAATTCACAGAACACCTACCCAGTACAGAGTTCACGCTTTGTATTACACTCGCATGCAACTTCAAGGCAATAAGTTTGCAAGCGTTAAAGCAAGGGCACAAGTAGCAGCACACAGCTGGACCTACCCAAACATCTCTCCAGCAGAGACAAAACCCTTCAAGCTTAGTAGCCTGAAGAGTTATCACAAAGGTAGCTTAGCAATAGCATTAGGAAAGCTTCACATCTCCTCCTCCCCCGGAATATCTGGCACTGGCTGCTGTTGGAAATCAAAACCCATAGAACAAATTACTGCATTTTCCCCTGACACTGCTCATTCACCCTTGATCCCAGGTGAGTTTAAGACTTGCTCTAGACACAGCATAAACATATGCAGTATCGCAAGTCTCGGGCACTGCTAGTCTAGAAGTGCATTTTTCCCTGTTGGCTAAGAGAGGGGTACAAGGGACAGGTTAGTTACTCACTGTGGGGAGTGACAAGTACCCAGGAACACACTGAAGAGCCCTTGCCATGAGGGGTACCAGCCCCTGCCCTGCCTCGGCCAGCAGGCGGTTCAGGCTCCCAGTGCCCTCCCGAGGGGAGGCTGCGCTCAGCCAGATGCGCCCGTGACACCCCCAAGCAGGGCCAGCAACTAGCGTCCACAGCAGACGCGTGTAAGGCGGTGCTGGGGGCAAGCACGAAGCATTGTGAGGCCTGAATGCGACACTTGTTCCATCTAACAATGG